CCCCAAAACCCCAAAACCCCAAAACCCCTTCAATTAACATAATTGCAAAATTAAGAGATTAACAAATAATAAATAAGATTAATTAGTTGTTTATTGCTTTATCATATTCCTTTTTGAGTACTGCTCAAATGAGTGGCTTGACGAATTCGTTGATTTTGTCTCCCATAAGTCCGAGGTAACCTCCTTTCTAGACTTTAAGATCCTTCTTTCTGATATCTTTGCCAGTAGCTTGATGCTTGGCATTGGCTTTATCACTAGTCTCTTATAGTGGTGTGATTTGGAAAGGCCACAATACGCTTCTCACTTCTTCAAAGTGTGAGTCTTTAGCATTACACTTGATAGCTGCGTCTATTAGATCCTCAAGGCAGATGATGCCATGTTATCCAAGTAATTCTTCGATAAGATTGTTATCAGAAATGGGTAGTCTCTTTCCATCCTTCTTAATGAATCCTCTCTTTCTGATTAAGTCATTGACTAACTGCTTGGTAGGGTATCCGAATGCAACATAGTCCTAGATGATCAGCAATTGGTTCTCAGTGTCTGGGTCTGACTTAAGTAGGACTGCATTGTTCAACTCCTTTAAACCTAAAGTTCTCATGATCTTCTGAGCTTGGGGAGTAGTGTTATCGGATCTATATTTAATGCTTAAACAATAGGCTAAATTCATACTGCTTAACTCTAACTGCTAGAATAAGTGTGTTTGGCTTTACTCTTTCATGTGGTGCTAGGTTCTTGGCATTTTCAGTCACTTTCTTGGTCTTGCTTTTCTATGCACAAAATTTATTAAACTCTCTTTGGAGATATATATTTATAGATATTATTCTGCCAGTATATCAACAAAGCTTACCTCTCTCTTATACTTGAGGAAGTTCCTTTGCTGCTTCATGTAGTTGGAGATGAACACCTCTGGCATGAGGATCTTCTTGCCAGTGGCTTCCTTGTCCTCAACTTTCTTCTTTCTGCCTCTGTCCATTCTTTGCTGAGCTCTTACATTCAATCTCTTTCTTGAATTCTCGTCGTCTCTCTTTCTCTTCTTCAACAGAGCTTCTTGGGATACACTACACAATGCTAAGTATTAATACTCTATGTTTTAATGAAGTTAGTATTACTCTAGGTTTTCCATGTTTGCTGATATATAGTAGTAATAATGAATTAATAATATTAAGTAATAATTTTTTGTTTAAATAATAATAATCATGATGAAATAATAAGAACCTGAGAAATATTTATTCTAACCCCCGGGCTAAAGAATTAGTAAGCAAATCATCAAATTTTCAAAGGCATAATTTAACTTTTAGTTGCTGGATTTAATGTTGAAGAATCACTTGTGCAAGCTTAGAATGAAGTCTCTGAAGTCAACAAGGACTCATTTGTAAGTTGCTTTCATTTAATTATAATACCAATGTTAAACTCTTTTTTAGGAGGATTACTATTCTGCCAAGCAATCAACAGTATAACTAGGTAAAATACAAATAAAAAATTACTTAGTAATTAAAAGGAAAATCAGTGACTGTGAACAAATCACCTAACCCCAGTAATAGATTAAGCCAAGTGCAAAGCATGAAATAACTTTAATCTGTTGAACATGGCCTCAAACCTGCATCAAAATATACAAGTAAATAAAATAGTCCAAAATTGAGCAAAAACTATATCACAGGTAAGCAGCAATATATTCTATATGTAAAAAACCCAATAGCTGATTCAAGAACTGGACGAACTAAGAATGATTCTCAGTTAGAAATAGATAGGTAAGTAACGTTTATAATAACTGATTCTCATGATATCGATACATTTAATTTTAGCTCTTTACTGATCAAGCTTTAAAATGAGAATGCCAAGATGAGAGAAAAGATTAAGGAGCTAAGTGCTTAAGTAGAATAAGCTTTGGATAAGGCCTCTAAGAATCTAGCTAAAAAGGGAAGGGCCAAGTCTCCCTAAGACAACTCCATGGTGCGAGATAAAGAACTGATGAATTAGGAATAACAGATAGCTCAACTTAAAAAGGAATTGAATAGTTATAAAATACGTTATGATGCAGATGCTAATATAGAGAATTATCTAGCAATGTAAAATAAACTGGTAGATAGTGAAAGAAAAAATGCTGAGTTACTAAGAGAGATTTAAGCGTTGAAAAATGTCTAGCATGAGTAGAGTAAAGCACTTGAGAGGCTAAGTCAAAAAGATGTGGTTGCTTCTACCACTAAAAGTTTGACAGATGAGGTTAGACTAGCAAATGGTAGAATAAGAGAATTAGAGGAGAGAAAGTTGAAGGATGAATAGCTTAACAAAAAGCAGTTTGACCATATCATAAAATTAGAGGAAAAGATCAAAGAGTTGAGAGAGCAAATATCTTCAAGCAATAAAAACAATCCAATGGCGTAACTGAAGCAATCTTAGATTCCCCAAGATAAGGATCTTGAAAAGCTGGCTGATGAGTTATAGAGTAAGCTCATGTAAGCTGAGAGATAGAGGGAAATAGCTGAGAAAGCAAGAGACTAGGAAGTTAAAAAATCAAAGAAGATGACTAAGCAGTTACAAGATTAGATTAATCAGTTACAAACTTAATTAGAGGCATCTTAACGCCAAATCAGAGAGAAGGAATAAGAGGGCAGATTAGCCAGCAGCAAACTAAGAGAAATATAAAAGAACATCAAGCATGGCTAGTTAACTCCATTAGTTCGTATGGGATCACCTGTTGGACCAGATAATGAGACTATAGAGGATAAAGATTTACAGAGAAATAAGTTACAATCTGATAGAAATGCAAAGTAATATACGGCCCTTAGCAATAAAAATAGTGAGACTAATTTAGTAAATGTCAAGCAAACTCAGCAAAGAAATAAATCCATGAATAGAAATTCAACTGAAGTTAACTTAAAGCCTGTCGATAAAAAAGGCTTGCCATCTCAGATTAATACAGATGATGAGTCTTAAGCTAGAAAAGGAGGCAAGGGATCTTAAAGCACTAAGAATCTTAAGATATCAGTTAACAATAATTTGAAACAAGATATACATAGCCATCTTGTCGATACTTAGGATGACACGACTTTACCTTCAGAGACTTCTTCAAGAAGATTGTAATCTCACTAGCCCAAGATTAAAGGCAACTAAAATATTAAAAATGTACTTAGTAATTCAAGATCTGACATTGAGGATTAAAGTGAAATGAGGTAAAGTGATAGTACAATCAACAATAAGACACCATCAATTATCAATAGAAAGTAAAATCTTAGAAGCAGCAAGGGTTCCATTGATAAAAGCAAGGATAAATTCTAAAGTAGACTAAGGGAGGAAGATGAAGATGAGTAAGACTCTGATGAAAACTGAAGTGTATGTAATATTTTATAAGGATAGAAGTTAGATCCACAATTATTGAACTGATTCTTAATCCCTTATTTTAAATCATTATTGACTTTACTTTGTATTTATATTTTATCAAAATTATCATGGTATTACACTTCTCAATCCATAACGGTGGGGTTTTGGGGTTTTGGGG